TTTTCCCAAAAATAAGACCTAGCCGGAAAATATACCATAGCATGATTTTAGGTGCCAAAATATGGCATCTTGGCATACTGACTATTTTAAGCTGAAGGAGTTTGTGGACAAGGCACCCTTCTCCCTGAAACAGGTCATAAAACCCTCATGTGAGGGGCGCGTGCCCTCCATATCCTGGAGGAATCCTGCTACGGCTTATTCTCCAGCTAGGTCTTATTTTTGGGGAAACATGGTATGTACAGTGTCAGACAGATAGTAGACTTGTTAGGGTTATCACTTTGTGATATCTGTAAATATCTAATCATTATGTTGTTTTGTACACCTGAAACTAATTAAAAAACCAAAAAATAATTTTAGAGAAGGCATTGTACATGGAAACATATCACACACATAAGGATAACCAACATAGCTATTATGTGTTATTCCTATGCTTATTCCTGTGCATTATGTTTAACCTTTTACATGTACTACTTTGCTAGTGAAAAAATGTTAACATTTTATAATGAGTGGGAAATCTGCATAAAATAATTTAAATCCATTAAGCCTATTGTTATCCTTAGTATTATCATTTTTAATTAGCATAACACCATAATTTACCATCTTTCCACAGATATTTTTATTCAGGTGTACATTAACTTAGTAATGTAGGAGCACCATTCCTATTTTATATTTATGTATTAAAAATTGAAGGTTAGAAATTTTAAGTGCCTTAGACAATATCTACCAGACATTTTTTCTTAAGAGTATTTCTAAATTGCTTCTCTTTATATATTCAAACTACAGAAATAAATACACAATTTTTCATTCTTTCCTGAAAAGGAATATGATTTATCTCATAAAAAAAAGTTTTATTTCTGGTGGTGAACTGTTCTTTCCTGTCCTTCCAACTTCTAAAGGCATAACTATGAGGTGGCATCTGCAATGTGCATGGCACGATTCTACAGTAACGTGCTCTTCTTTGCACAAGAAGACAGTGCTACTTATTCATCCTGGTGGTACATGCTGTTTTCTGTTCACAGGGATAGCTTTACACTAATCTGGCCTCTCCGTTTCCTTGGACTCCAAGGTGACCAGCTGGTCCCCTTTGCAGGCAGCTGGTTGAGGCTGTAGAACAGCTAATTGGCCAGCAATGGGAATGAGCCTGTGACCTCCACCTCGTGGACTGAGCACTCAGTCATCAGTGGAGTGTGGGCTTGAGTCGCTCAGAGCTGGGCAGTCAGGGTTCCAGCACTTAGTCACTGTGAAAAGTCACACAGGCTACACGTCTTCATGCAACCTCAATTTTTTTATCCATAAAATGAGAATCACAGTCTCTCTCAGAGTGTTTTTGAGATGATTAAATGAGCTAAAATATACAAAGTATTTGCCTCAATAGCTAAAAAAGTAGACACTCTTTGGCAGCCCTAGGCAAAAACATGAATAGTATGGTACCTTTCCTTTGGATGTAATTCTTAGGTATACCTACCTGGGCCATACTCTGGGCCTTAAACAGCGGCCAACAGAAAAGCCTCCTTCACATCATCGTGAGGGGATAGGTGTGCAAGTATTTATGGAAAGCGTTACACAACACTTAATCAGAAAATCTCTCCTATTGACCCCAGGGAATCCCGAGAATGCCTGTGTTTGGTACCATCATTTCTCTGATTCCTACTTTGAGTCAGAGTTTAAACCTTTCTCTTCACTTCTAGTGTAGTCATCCACATCTGATAAACTTCTCTCCCTTTTGAATGATATACTTTTCTATCATATTGTGTCACTGTCAGAGACCTTTTCCCAATTAGTGGACAGCCTGGCCTTCATTCTTAATTTCTTTAATCATGTTAAAGTTTCCATACTATGATACATCTCACAAGACTTTCAGGGGATGCGAAGAAACATTCTCTACAGAGATAAAAATAGTGACATGAGTCATTTTCTTTGTTGCTCTTTGAATTGCCATATAAAGTTATCCACCAAATATACCTTGCCTGGTCTAGGAAGCGTGCCTGCTTAACATGGGTTAATGCTTGTGACATTAGTCACTGTTAATTGCTCAAGAGTTGAGATCAGGTAGGCAATCACTGAGTTCATCTGTCAAAAAAATGACTGTAGTCATATTAAGGAATAAAAGGCCCCATGGCTACCAAATGACTGCACATTATTTCAACAGAATTGAGCATCTTTCATAGTAACATATACCACCTGGAGCTCTGAAAATGTCAGAGGGCAGGCAGTTTGGGGTAATTGTTTCACTTGACCCTTTAATTGGTCATTGTTTTTCCATTTATGAGTTGTTGTTTTTTTAAATCTTTTAATAGAGTCTGTTCTATTCCAAATTCTCTGCATATTTGGTTTTAAAATATAATATGTGGTTTGAATTAAACCCTACTTTTTGAAAATTGACTTTATTTGAAAAAGATTTCCCTACAATATTTTTCCTACACTGGCATTCCTTCAGATAGAAAAGAGAAAAGGAGCCACACAGGTATTTTGGAGGTAAGTACCTCTTTTAGGATAACCTCTCTCTTTGTCTCTTGGGGAGATTTGGCTAGGGCTGTGCTCGCTGGAGGAAGCAAGGCTCTGGAAGTAGGTTTCCAGAACTTCAGGCATTAAATAATTACGCACTGTACCCAGGGCATCTGACCTTCCAATGTTATACTTTGCCAACTGCAGGGGGAAACTACTGAAATCTGTCACGTTGTTATGACTGACAGGACCATATGGAAAATGCTGGAAAAATTCTTCCTTAGACTACAATTGCCTGGATGGGCAGGAACTCTGCCTTCTATTCATTTATGGAGTGTGTATGGCCCAGAGTGCTTGAGACAGTGTTCAGGATTTATTGTTCAAGACTTCAAAACAAAATTAAAATGGGTCATTAAAAATAGTCAGCTTGCCTGAGGAGCCAATTATATTTTATTTCATTTGATTTATAGGGTCAGTTTCCTTAATCCCTGAGTATATAATGTATGCACAGGTTGATGATATCAAAAAAAGAAAACAAAACCAAAGAATGGTTATATGCTTTATTTGTGATCATGCAGATGAAATTGCCTAGTGGTTGCATTGCTCCCTTCTAATTGAGCATTGGGTTGCCATGGAGACTATTTGAGCATGGGAATCAGTAAGGCTCTGTAGCATGATGGTTAAGGTTCAAGCTCTGGAGCCAGAGTGGCTGGGTTTGAATCCTGCTTTATAATTCCTTATCATCTCTGTGCCTCAGTTTTCCTACCTCTAAAATCCTAGTGTTCTTGTACCTAACTCATCAGGTTGTTACACGGATTAAGTAAATTAAGATACACATATTTAAAAGTTCTTCAAATAGTGCCTGGCACATGGTAAGTACTATATAAGTCTTAGTCATAAGTATTATTTTTAAATTTTTATTATCATTAAGAATCTAGGATTTTGTGCCATTGAACGTGGTTCTCCATAGTAAAAAAGTTGATTGGAAATTTGGCAAATTCTCCCTCTTTCTCTCTCCTTGTTTTTTTGTTCCTGTCTTCTCCCCCTCTCTGTTTGTTTCTCTTTCCTTTTCTCTTTTACTCTCTGCACCTGGCACTCTGGTTTCATATCCACATTGCGATACTTGATAGTTCCAATCTTTCCTTATGTTGTGTTTTCCATGGCAATGATGTGAGCAGGAGCAAGTTGTTGCAGGGAGAGTGGCAGGGCTGTGCCATCCACATCTCAGTGTGAGAAGGTAAATGCCTCAGTTGTTAGGGGCTCCCACTCCATACATACCCCCATGCCTAACCAGAGGAAGGAACATTTTTCTGTGCGGGGGTGGCTTTCATGTTGGAAGGGGATGGTTGATGGTGTTATTTTTGTTCCCCACAAATGTGGATGTTTAAAATAGTGCTTTATTCAATCGGCATAAGTGACACATAGACTATGTATAGTGATGGAACTGGGCCTGGCAGGTGCTGAGGGCCAGACCTCACCAAAACCAAGAGCCGTGGCTCTCCACTGATAGCACCCAAGGGATCTTTCCTGAGGATGGCCAGCACGGAACCCCCATCGTGGGTTGCCTGGCAAATTCACTTGCACAACTACTGAATTGTCTGAAATGGATGCACCTCAGAGCCAGTGAACTAGGATTTTGGCTTCGTTTCCATGGGGCATGCCAGCGGGTCACATTTCCTCTCTCAACCTCCCTCCAAGCTGCACTGTACTCATGAAGGGTAAGTGGGTTCGTTGTTCTTTCGTGCCTATTGGCTTGGTGCCCTGCAGGTCTGGAGTTCAGCCAGTGTAACCAAATCGGGAGGCTACCGCTCAGGCTATATTTAATGGGAGGTTTATTGTCTTGTCACAGTTTTAGAAGTTTAGGGAACTTTTTTTGAGATTGATTGGATCGTGTTGGGAGTTGAAGTAGTGTCAATTTTGATCCCATAGACTCCTTTTTAGGGGTTATCATTAAAAGTTTATTTAATGCACCCTGCTTTAAGTCTTTGAAAACTGCCCTTTTGTACTTCGAGTCAGCACAGTGAGGATTCTAGAAGGGGCTCTTCCTATTTTGAAACAAACATTACGTTTCATGGGGTGTGACTTTGGGGAAAAGGGGATGGACTGTTTCATTCCTATTAAAACGTTTATTGTTATTACGCCTCTGATTTGAGATGAAAGAGGAAGAAAATGCATAGCTTTTGAGGCAAACATAAAGCTTACCAGAGGTAAAAAGGAGACTCTGAAATCGTTCTGGAGTGTCCTTCGTTGATTTGAAATGCAATGCAGAATTTGGATTTTATTTAAGAACAAGGGGGGGGAAACCCATTTAATCAGACTGGGGACTGAAAGTGGCAGTGAGTGAAGAATAACTTCATATTTGTTAGACATCACTATAACAGATTATATACAATACTTGGTTGACTTGAATTAGACCCCACAAGCTTCCTCCACCCCCAACCCTCTCCTTTCATCTTAGAACCTCCTCTCTACCCTCAAGTGTGGTTTCACTATGACTAGGGAATAGACACTAAAAATATTTCTGGAATGACGTGACCCACTCTCGCCCCATCCAGGAAAGAGACAAGGCTTCACAAGAAACAGCACATGCTTTCCTTTCATTTCTGGGAGTCCCAGGGTCGGCCTACAGATGCTGCTCCTTCCGTCGCCGATGGCATTCAGACTCCTAGTTGCCGACGGTGCCAGGCAAACAACTGGACAGAACAGCTTAGCTACAGGAAAGTGGCCACAGTCTCGGCCAGAGCAGCAGCCCCCGGACCACAGACCACCTCTGCCACCCCATCCAGGAGCCTTCCCACCTCCCTCGGGCTTGTCAGGGCCCAGGCACAGGGGCTGAAGAACTGGGAGGTGGTAACGGCCGTGGCAGTGGTGCCTACAGCCTTGGGGCCAGTCCACGTACGTCAGACCCTGCTTCGGGCAACTCTGTGTCCCCTCCAGGGCCAGGGAGGGACCCAGGACAGCCCCAGTGCTCACCATTCTTTCTTCTTGTCGCTGAAACCTAGGCGAGGGCTCAGCATGGAAGCCGCCGCTCCTGAGCTGAAGCCACAGACCAGACTGAGGGAGGTGGGGGAACGGGTGAGCAGAGCTCAAGATAGCCAGGAGTTAAAGCAGCAGCTGCAGCTGCTGCCCAAGCCCTCAACCTCCTCCCAGCGAGAAGCGAAATATGTGGAGATGTGCTCTTCAGCTGGAGTCCAGAGCGAGAGTCCTGGGACCATGAAACTTACCCTGGAGTGCTCCCCTGGGGATCAGAGGGACTCTGGGAGTCCCAAGGAGAAAGCCCAAGATGAACCCAGTGGTCAAGAATGCAAGGCTCCAACCTCGCAGAAGGATCCTGCTTCGGAAAGCTCCAGATCCCAGCTCTCCCTCACTGATCAGGGCAGCAACTTCTCATCTTCCTCCTCCTCATCCTCCTCCTCCCCAGTGGACAAAGCAGAAGGTGGCCTTTCCAAGCTGGATGAACCCACCATATCAACAGGGGCTCTGGCCACTTCATCTTCATCTTTAGGCTTTGAGAGTGACAGCAGTGCGAGCGCAGTGAGCTGCCAGCCCAGGGGAGGGGTGGGAGGAAAAATGGCAGGAGAAGGAGGGGCAGGTGGGGGAGGAGAAGATGGGACAGAGTGCACGGACATTATTGCCAAGTCTCAGGGCAGCAAGGGCCCCCCAAAAAATGAGGAGGCTCACTACATCACCACCCACGAGATCCAGCTGAGTGAGGTCGAGCAGGACATGGATTTCGATGTGGGGCTGGCCTCCCGCTGGGATTTCGAGGACAACAATGTGATCTACTCATTTGTGGACTATGCTTCCTTTGGTGGCAGCGACGAGACCCCGGGAGACGTCACCACCCCAACCGAAGAGGAGGACAACAGCTGCTACCTCAGCACCACTCCCAGCACCAATGCCACCCGGACACCCAGCCCCACCAGCAGTGACCCCGCTCGCCCCAGCGCAGGCAGCAGTGGTCGCGACACCAGCAGCACGGAAGTGGGCAGCGGCCCCTCTGACAGTGGCCCGACTCCCCCACCCACTGGGCCTGGCACTGCCACTGGGCCTGAGCCCTTGCCGGAGCCCCCGGAGGCAGCTTCAGGGGCAGCAGCCGCCGCAAGCAGCTGTGGGAGTGCAGCAAGCCAGATCCTCCTATCAATCAAACCGACTTCCCGGGCTATAAATGAGCCTAGCAACGTGCGTGCAAAGCAAAACATTATTTATGCTGCCAAGCATGAAGGCGACATGAGCCTCCGAGTCTCTACAGCTGCTGAACACAATTCAAGTTCTCTGAAGCAAGACCGGGCTGCAGCGGTGGCTCAGGACCATGCAAAGAAATTCATCGCTGTCCCTGCTCGCCTGCAAACCAGGTGCGGGGCCATCAGGGCGAAGGAGTTGGTGGACTATTCCAGCGGGGCCTCCAGTGCGGTGAGTGAACTGGACGATGCGGACAAAGAGGTGCGTAACCTGACCTCCCGTGCCTTCCGGAGCCTCGCTTACCCCTACTTTGAGGCTCTGAACATCAGCTCCCGGGAGTCCTCCACGCTCTCCGAAGTCGGCTTTGGGCGTTGGTCGACCTTCCTGGACCTAAAATGTGGGGGTGTTGGAGCCAGGGTGGAGCAGAGCCTGCTCAGGAGCAGCGCGGCCTCGGTGGCCGCAGGTCTGAGGAAGGACAGTGGGGCCAGGACGACCGCAGACCAGCTTTACATCCACTCCAGGAAGTCCCAAACCAAGGCCTTGGAGTTCGTGGTCAGCAAAGTCGAGGGGGAAATCAAACATGTGGAGACACCTCTGTGTTTCCAAAAGCAGGTGCAGACAGGCTCCCGTGTGGTCACTCTTCTCGAACCTCTGAATTTACGCAGTGAGAGCAAAGCCAGCTCAGCCACTGGGCCCTGGAAAGTCACCAAAGGCTCCAGCAAGGGCCCCGGGTCGGTGTACACAGATGACGGCTCCGAGACCTCCGAGAGCAGCAAGCCTGCCTCCCGTGCAGAGGGCCCCCAAAAGAAGTCCAAGTTTGCTTCCAGCCTGCTCAAAAATATCATCTCCAAGAAGATGCAGCGGGAACATGAGTTCAAAATGGAGAGGGGCGAAGTCATTGACACATCCCACCGTAACCTCTCCAGCATGTCCAAGGAGCCAGTGGGCCCCCCGGGGGGTGAGAAGCAGCGGGAGAGGAGCCTGCAGAGACAGAGCTCTCGCCACTCCGAGGCCGGCTCTGAGTACACGGTGCTCAGCCTGTCTGATGCAGGTGGGGAGGGGTCCACAGCCGGGTCTAAATCCCCGATTTTCAAAGCCAGTACTCCTCGGGAGAACAGTGCAGGCTCTGGCCGAAATATCACCGATGGACACACAGAGGAAGTGTGTGAAATTAAAAAGTGTGCATCAGAGACTGTCAAGGGCATCTTCCTCCGGAGTCAGAACAGTGCATTCCGATCGTGGAAGGAGAAAGAGGCTGAGAAGCGAGAAGAAAAAGCCCCCATAGGGAAGCTGAAACTCCCCAAAGGGGGCGACTGGAGAGCTGATCTCGGGGAGATATCTGCCAGCAAGTCCACTATCATGTCTCGTCTCTTTGTCCCCAACATCCAGCAGACACCCAAGGACAAGCAGCCAGGGAAACAGGCCACTAAGTACCCTGCTGCCCAGGCCACCTCCACAGCAGTGATCAAGCCCAAGGCTCCGGAAATCAAGATCCGGCTGGGGAGCGTGCAGCAGCCAAGCTCAGACTTCAACATTGCCAAGCTGCTCACGCCCAAACTGGCAAGCGGCAGCGCCTCTAACCTCCTCAAGACCATTGAGGACACCACCAAGGCGCAGCAGAAACTCTTCCGGGGGGACAACCTGGAAAAAGTGCCTCAGTTCCAGGTGAGAGACGTCAGAGACAAGTCCAAGGCTCAGGGCCCCCTCCACCAGGTGAGGGACGTCAGGAAACTAATCAAAGGGTCAGGGGATAGCAGTGACAAGGGCAGTGTTACCCCGGAGCAGGGGCTGACCGGGCCCAAACCCAGGCAGCTGGCTGCTACAGCTGGTGGGTCCAGATCCCTGTCCCCCATGGTGATTACATGTCAGGCCGTGGTGAACCAGAGGGAGGACAGCATGGACCGAGAGCTGAGGGACAGCCTGGGCAAAGGCGGCGGCAGCAGCGGTGGCTTGAATTCTTCCTCGCCAGAAGGGACAGTCTTGGTTCACAGGGCGTCTGGCAGGCTGCCTGTAGCTACCATTGCTCCCAATAAGCCTGAGCAGGGCTCATATCTGCCAGTGCTCAAGATCATCTCCAAGGCTTCTGCTCAGAAGACCCCAGAGAAGGCCAAGGACGAGGAGGTCAAGGAGGAAGGGAAAGGTCCCAAGCCCTCGCGGAACGCCCTGGAGAAGCTGACCGCGGCCGTGAGGTCCATGGAGGAGCTGTACAGCTTCAACAGGAACGAGTGGAAGCGCAAAAGCGACCCTTTGCCCACGATGACAGACAGCCATGTCCTGTCGCTCATTGCCAGCGAGGAGAGGGAAGGGGCTGGGGGTGCTGAGGGGGACCCTGACAAACTGGCCAAACGGCTGGGGGAGGTGGGAGAGCGGGGCACAGGAAACAAAGGCGGAGTGGTCCTGCGAGGCGGACCCATGGAGCGTCTGCAGCGGAGAAACTCCAACCCAGCGGCTGAGAGTGTGTCTGCCCGCGCTGCTGCCTTTGAGAACCTGGCCAGGGAAAGGCCCCGCTCCCTCTATATTCCCCCAGTCCACAAGGATGCAGAGAGAACCCAGCCTCTGCAGCCCCTCCCACCCCTCCCCAGCAACCGGAATGAGTTCACAGTGAGTGCCAGCAGCACCCAGAAAACTGGGGGTGTCGCTGGCAAGTTCCCACAAGGGCTTTCTCCAGAGAGTCCTTCAGCAGCAAAGGGCATCAAGTCTCAGGGACTGCGGTCCCTCAAGATCTCTCCAGCCACCAGGGCACCTGTCAGTGAGGTGACCAGTAGGAAAAACGGCAGCAATTTGGAAAAGAGCAATAGTGACTGTGAGAATTACCTGACCATCCCCCTGAAAGGAAGCTCTGGAGCTGGGGAACTTCCAGGCAGGCCTGGGGCTGGGAGGGAGGGGGCCCCAGCCTCCTCAGTGGCCACTCTCTGCAGCTTGCCCCCCCTGAGTGCCCGCAGTCAGGTCCCCAGTAGCTCCAAAGGCTCCCAGGTCAGTGGAACCAGCCGGCCAGCTTGGCGTACCAAACCAGACAACCCACGGGAGATGGTAGCTGCCCCCGCAGGGCCACAGAGCCCCGAGCACCCCCCCACTGCCATCTACCACCAGCAGCCACTGCCCTTCACCCTGCAGGGGGCCCAGCCCCAGGTCCTCTGCTTCTCCCCACCTGGCATGCCTGTCCAGGCACCTGCAGGCTCAGCTCCAGTCCCCACAGACTCCTTCCAGCAGCCACAGCCTCAGCAGACCCAGCGCAAGATGCTCCTGGATGTGACAACCGGCCAGTACTATCTGGTGGACACACCAGTACAGCCCATGACCCGGAGACTGTTTGACCCCGAGACAGGGCAGTATGTGGATGTGCCCGTGACCTCCCAGCAGCAGGCTGTGGCTCCCATGTCCCTCCCTGTGCCTCCCTTGGCCCTGAGTCCGGGGGCCTATGGACCCACCTACATGATCTACCCTGGATTTCTGCCCACGGTGCTGCCTGCCAACACCCTGCAGCCCACACCAATTGCTCACACTCCAGGGGGCAGTGAGCTCTCCCAGATGGCCGCAGAGCCCCCCAGCAAAGAGGCAGCTTCAACATTCACCGAGGCCCCCTACTTCATGGCCTCTGGTCAGTCCCCCGCCTCCTCTTCCTCAGCCGCAGCAGCCACAGCCCAGCTCGTGGGGGCCAAGGGCTTCGCCCAGCTGCACGGCAAGCCTGTCATCAGCATCACTTCACAGCCCCTGGGGCCGAGGATCATTGCCCCTCCTTCCTTTGATGGCACCACCATGAGCTTTGTGGTGGAGCACAGATGAAGAGCAGTCACCAGGAAGCAGGACGCAGCAGCTGCTGGTGAGTGAGTGTGACTTGGATAATCAGGTTTAAGGGATTAAGAGCAATCCCGTTTCTTTGTGTTTGAAGTGGCAGATTTACAGCAGAGGAAGCTGTCTAGAAATGGGCATTTTGGAAGGTCAGAACAAAACCCCATCCAAATTATTAAGGAGCTAATTTTCTTGCCAAGCTTCCTCCTCTCCCCACTCCTCTGCTCCCGTGGCCTTTCCCCTTTGACCTTTTTAAATTGCTTGAGTGTTTTTCTCACCTGTGAGTAGGAGGGAAGTGAACTTAGGTTCTTTAAGTTAGGCTTTCCGGGAGGCCGGCCGGGTAGGAGAAAGAAAACCCCGGTCGGGAGTTCATGGACCAAGCCCCCCCTAATTCTGGCAGGCCCCAGGGCCAAAGGCCGGACTTCCTTAGGAAAGCTTGGGAACCCCCGGTTTATCGGGTGGTTCTTCGGAAATAGGGGAAGTCCAAACTGGCATTTTCTTGGTTTGGGGGTTTTCTAAAATCTGCAGACAGGCTTCTCTCTCTCCTCCACATCTTCCTCTTGAAGTTTCTGACACAGAGACTCATTTTTTAAACTCCTGGTTTTTTGTTTTGTTTTGTTTTCAGATGATCAGAATACTTTTTCTTAGCCGAGTTCAAGGTTTTTAAGGTCACACACACACACACACACACACACACACACACACACACACACACACACTGGCACACACTTGACCTCTACAGAGAGGGGAGATTACAGAGCTGCTGTGGCTCCATGGAGGTGGATGCTGTGTTTGATTCAGTCCATTCAGACTGAATCCTACTCCCAGCTGGCAGTCCCTACAAGGCACTCATTTTCATATCTGCATTCTCTCCCTTCAAAAACGAAGCCACTTCCACTTGCCCCCTCTAAAGGAAATAAGCTAAAGTAGATCCTAACACCCGAGTTAATCCAGCTTCACAGACAGGAATCCTTGCTGTAAATACAGTCCATGGAACTTGATAGGAAAACTGAGCCCGGTTTGCCTGAACCAGGACACGTCAGGTCACACACGTTACACAGGGGCAAACTTCAGAAAGGAGCACAAAGATGTCAGCACTATGGAGCCAAATTGCCCTCATTCCCCTGTTCTCTTCAGATTAGAAAGGATTGACATCATAAATACTTCTTGGACTTTCACTTCTTGGTAAGATTATACCTAATCAAGAAAGGAGATGGAGAGGGGAGAAATCTTTTCTATTCTTAAATGAAAGAAATAAGCCATCCCTCTCTTTACTAAACTGAAAAAGAATAGAGAAATATTTTTTTTCATTGTGCAATGAAACAGCCTGAAATTAGGAAGTAGGATCATGAGATTAGAGTCACAGCTTCTTCTCACCAACTGTATATTCTTGGGCTGCAAACTCTCTAGCATTCATGACACTCATGTGTGACTAATACCTACTCCTCAAAATGAATGTCTGATGACATAACAGTGTATTGCAACTTTTTTTAAAAAACTTTTTTTTTTTAATTAAGTGCTTGTTGCTATGCATTGCATTTATTGGACTGTAAGACATTAGGCCACTTTTCAAAAACCCTTGCGTCTTAAAGTCAGGTGAAAGCACAAGCCTCGTTTTTCTTGCAATCCAGAAATAGATGATTTGAATTCTTTTCCTCCAAGAGTTTAATCACAGGCACTGTGTGATGAACACAAACCCAGAGGGGGAGGATTAAAGATAAATATAATGCATCTTCTGTCTGATGTAGAAGACAAAGCCAAAAATTAATATGCACGGGGAAGATACTCAGAATTAGAGAATTAGTTTTGCAGAAGGAAAAAGAGTAGCCTTTAAACAAAAGCATTTTAATCTTCTGGACAAGTGGATGTTTACCTAAGGCTATTTTGGAGCAGCTAATCCTATGAGGCCTTTTTGTGAGCTGTGGAGGTGCAGAAGCAAGGGGAAGAGAGGACAGGGCTCAGAGGAGGGGGAACCAGGCCCAGGCTCCTGTGGTGTCCCCTCAGCAGCTGCCTTTGGCCTTTCTCCTGTCTGCTGAGTCTGGAGAGATTAGGCTTGGAGTTGTCGCCATCAGACACAAATATAAATCAGAGTTTTTAGTATTAGAGATTTCAACAGTGATTATTTTGAAAGTTTTTCCCTTTTTGAAATCACCACCTTTATTTTAGTCCCCAGCCCTAAAGATAGATAGACAGAAGGCAAAAAGCTGGCTTCGCAATTTAAGGAGACTAGCGATGAACTAATGATTCGTTTTTTGTGTACAGGCGAAAATCTAATTATCAAAACTCAGATAACCAATAAAAATCCTTCAAAACTCACCTTCCTGAAAATTCTATGTTGCTTTGCAAACAAAGGTCAGGTACATAAAGAAGTGTGTACTTCTTTTCCTTGTGTAAAAAAAAAATTAAACGTTGTTCATATATATCAAAAATTGCATTGTACACACTCATTCATCAACTGATGATCATACACGTGGTCCTTGTGAGAAGTCTTGGAAGCTGGTGTCAGTTCAAGATTTCCTTTGAAAGCCAGACGTATCCCAGAGATTTTCGTTGGGGTGAGGTAGGGTTTTTTGTGCCCCTTTGAACTAAATCATGTAAATGAATTGATCCAATCACAAGATTTCACAGAGAAGAAAACTGGGGCTTAGAAAGAAATGGTTTTGCTGAGGTTCCCAGACAGTGAGAGAGCCAGGACCTGTGGAGCTGGCTTTTAGCTCCTGGGCCACACTATGCTCTCTGCAGGCTGCTCTGTGTGTTCCTCGGTGGGAGGCATGGAGCAAAGCAAGGATGGCAGAGGACTGCAGTGAGCTCTGAACTGGCAGCCAGGACACCTGGGATCTATTCTCTGCCTCTCTGGACATTTGTAAAATGAATGTTTGAATGAAATGCACTAATTCCCTCATTCATTCAACAAACATGAATTCATGAATTACGTGTTTACACTCTACCAGCCACAGTGTACTCTGCAGTGACTATAAACCCTCATGTGACCTGCTCCAGTCCCATCAGCCAAGAGCCTACACTCCAGCAAGAAGACACACCTTGGACATAGAGAACTGCAAAATCAGTGTTCAAGTCCTGCCTTAACCTTCAAGATCCCTTCCAACTCAAATAATAAGTATTTCATCATCTATTTTTAGCTGCTCGTTGTAACTGGGAGCTTTGCTTTCTCCCCCATTTATATTTGAGCGTAACCAGCTGCTATTATCTCTACCTAATTATTCTGTTATGAACTTCCCTTCAGTTTTGCTGTTCTATGTGGGCCTTTCCCACTTTTAAGAAGGTCGTCAGTAATGTTATGTACTTTATTATTATTTAGTACATCATGGATTATGATAAATAGATGAGGCTGTTTGTAGCTGGTGGCTCAGTGACCAGATAGTCACAACACGAACCCATTTGTAACATACCAGTGGGTTAGGCACACCAGCTTCAACACTTCACTACTTTCTCTTTTTTCTGTTAGGACTTTTCTGTTTTAGATCTTTGTTATTTGGTGGTTTTTGTTTTGGAAGTCCCCATTCCATAGGATCTTTGATGACTTTTCCAGTGAAATTATTTTTGTCTTAGTTTTCTGTCATTAGAGGCATGCTGCTATATTTTTCCTTCTCTGACATATTCACTTTCATGCTTTCTCCTGCCCACCCACTTAGACGCCATATTTTTCTTTTAAAATTTTAGTGAAAAATAGATACTAAATACCATTTACAAGAGCATAAAGATAAAATAAATATATAATATTAACAAAAGAAAACTTTCATTGCCATTATGTTTGCTCTGCAATGGGTATTGCAATTATTTTGTTTAATTTGAATGTCTTTTTTTCTTTTCCTGTAAGATTTTATCCATTTGTTTCTTCATTTCTGAGTGTGCTGTATGTTGCTCCACCATGTTGGTCTTTCTTTTCTCCTTACTTCCTCAGAATTATTTCTACTCCCTGAATAGAACCCTACAGGTCAGCAGTTGAAGTGGGAAGAGAAAGGGGGTTGGGTTCAGGGGATCTGTTTTTGTAGAGTATTCTAAGGGGGCCCTATTGGGGTCCTTAGATCATTAAACCCCGTCCCCTTGTAGTAAAATTCCAGGAGAAACCTGGAGCTCAGAGAGGTTAAGTGGCCCTTCTTGGTCACAGTGTCCCTTTGGGGCAGAGTTGGGACCCAAACCCCAAATCACCCCATACACGGGTCTTTTCTCAGTTTGTGTCTTTCTTATTGCATTCCTGTCCCCTCTTCCTGTCCCTGCAGGGTCACTTTTATTTGGTCGTCCTCCTCCCTGGTGTCCATCCCAATAGTTCACTTCCCCTCCTTTTTCCCCTTGCTATTTGTTTGAGAATTTACTTTCTGTTCTTTGCTTTATTTTATTTTCGGTGATTTTATTCCTTATGTGGTTTCTCCCATTCACTTCAAGCTGACCTAGTTTACTGCCCCACCTTACTTCTCCCCTTCTTCTTACTTTTTTGTTAGTAGTTTCTTTTTATCACAGACTGGATAACTTCACGGGCTGGTGCTCCTGTCAGCTCCCTCATGTGCACAGGCTTTGCAGCTTTGTGCAGGAGGCCAGGTGGCTGGGCTGCGGCCATTTCATTTTCACATCATTCCATACTTACATTCCTGAATTAATTCGTCTATTTCTATTTTTTCCTAACTTGGTTGTTACTTCCTCTCCCAATTATTATACCGGGGGTGGGGGCTAAAAAAATGTATACACATGACTTGTATTCATCTTTTGTTATCAGTATCTATTGAGTATTACAATTTTAATACAGTGTTTTTCCTTTCTTAAAATGTGTATACATTTTTTTGGCTGCTGTTTTTATCTTATTCTCTTAATGTCTTTTTTTACCTTTTTATTTTTTTCCTCCCTTTCTCTTTTCTTGGATTGTAGCTTTCCTCTGGCTCCTAATTTGGTGCCTTTCTCCACAATTTTATTGCCTTAATTATTTCCTTCTCTACCCTCTATAAAAGTGAAAGGTAATAGCTGATGTATATTAATCATTTATTATATACCAAGACTTCATATCATGCTGTCTGCTTCTTAAAACAAGTAGGCACCATTTTCATTCCTATTTGACACATGAAGAAATAGCTTCATTTGTCAACAGATCGCCTGGAACCCAGGCCCTTTGTGCTCTTTGGCCATGCTCATTCCTGGCGCCTTGTCTGCCCCTTCTCTTACTCTCTGCCCTCTAAGTATCAATCCCTTGTTGTGAACTGTCCCCCTTCCCTCATCTGGGAAAAAGGGAAAAAGAATAAGGTAAGAAATTGACCCGGAAACTTGTAATGAATGTCTAACATACACTAAGCCTCCATGTGTGTTTTCCTTCTGATTGAAAAATTAGCTGTCCTTAGTTATTAGAACATTTTGTGTCCCAAAGAGAAGCCTGAGCCAGTGTCAGCACTCCTAGGGGCTGTGGCCCGCAGGGGTGGAGTCATTGTGAGTGTATATGTGGAAGGGCAGCTGCGGATGTCCACCTGAGAGTGGGATCCCCCTGGATGTCAGTAGGTTCATGCAGTTTAGTTGGAGGGGAGTGCTGTGATTTAACTAAAGCCCAAGTATGTTCACCTTGAGTCAGGCAGCGCAGGCCTAAATTCTCACACTCTTACTACTCTGGACAAGTGACTTGCCCTGTCTTCACTCAGTTTTCTCAACTGTAAGATGAGGATGCCATATAGAAGGGTTGTAAAGAGTCGATGATAAAGCCATTACAAAGGAAAAATCAAATAGTTCACTGATCTGCCTTGGAGACAATAACCTCATAAACACCTTAGGAACCCCCATCCCCCATCTCTGAGGGGCCCTCACCAGAGCAGGAACTCAGTCCTTATCCTTACAGACACCTAGGCAGGGTCAGGAGCCCGTATCCAGGATTGCTTTATATTTTCCCCAACTGGAGGCAATGTCTACAGCTCGGCAGTCACCTCTGAGCTGGCTGATCTCATGGGGCAGGTCATTTGGCTATGGGTCAGAGTACTCTAGTATCCCCCAAAGCTTTCCAGAATGTTATACAACTTAGGGCCTCGATTGCCAGCTGCATGTAGTGATTTTCTTGTCTGTCTGGGCACAGTCCTATGTGGAGCAAGGAAAAATCTGACCCAGCGTCCCTGCTGAAGTCTGCCATGTATTCAGGCCTGTAATCATGGGAAGTATGCCCAGGTCATACTGCTGGGTGACACAGGGTAGTCACTGACTCCTCTCCTATTTACTGACTTTTTCACAATCCTCTATGTAAACTGGTGATTTTATTATTTTATTCTTAATAGGCATTGGAGCAACTTTATTACTTTCAAGGTTTCACATAAAATTTCTCTCAAGTTAACGTAAGCAGAAGCAATGCCCTGTGAATGAACGAAAAGGCAACGTCTGGAGCATGGGTCCCTGAAAGTGACCCCTGAAAGTAGATTCATCAACAGATTTCTCCTGTTTCTCAGACTGCTCTCTCCATCTTGCAGTGCCGCTGCCCTCAGGCCTGTTTCCTCTCTCTCTCTCTCTCTCTCTCTCTCTCTCTCTCTCTCTCCTTCCCTCCCTCCTTCCTTCCTTTCTTCTTTTCCTTCCTCGCTCCCTTCTGTATCTTCTCACTTTGCTCAGAGTCTTTGCAAATCTTGCCTCATGATGTGACTCAGCCTGAGCTGTTGTTGCATCCTTGGACTGTACTGAAATGAGTCTTCATAGTCTTCTATTTTCTTCTCCTTCCTTGTAATTATATTTTCTTTTCCTGTTGCTACTTTACATGTCCTCAGGTACAAAAACTTAAATTTAGCAAATGAGAAGTCTTTAAACCCATAACAATCCCTTTCATCTTGAAGGTCATTCCTTAATATAAAATACAAAAGAACAAAATAATCAAACATGGAATATATACATATGAAACCACAATTATTCTTATAGATTTTTTTAAAATCATATATTTAGCAGGTCAGTTTCTAGATGATAAGATTACAATATCCCTTGCTGGCTACTCTGATTGCTTAGATAATTGATTAGATAATTGTTATCTGGTACTCCCTAAAGGTTATTTTTCACATGATAGTCTTCTTAATCCCTCACAAATATTACCTGTAGGCTACTCTGTTTTAGTCTTCATAATACTATGTTCAAATATCAACTCTCAAATGTTAAAAAAAAAATGTTCTTTAGGCAAAGTTCTAGAATACTATAGGGAGAGGAGAAGTTGACAGAAAGGGCTAATTTTCAGTAAGCTTTTGAACATGTCAATGCTTGTCTTAGAATGGGTTTAACTAGGTCATAGATTCTAACCAGTATATCTCATTTTAAACAAATGCACTAGATGAAATTCCACATAATTTAGGCCGTGATCATTGGCTTTACAAGAATTCTCAGCATAAAGTTCATTCATTTAACTAGATTACTAGCTCATGCTAAATTTCATTTCTGAATACATTTTAGAAACATATGTATTACACTGTTTTATCTCTTCTATGGAAGATTTCGATGAAACTATACATTTAACTCAAATCATCTTTGTGTAGTTGATTGGACTCAAGTTTCAAAGAGAGGTTCCACATTAGGCACTTTCTTCAAGTCAGTGTAATGTCTAGTAAATTCAGAAACATCTGCCAAACACATTTTAAAATGCGAACGTCACCTTCATTAATATTGAAAACAGACAAATAGTTAAATAAAATGTATTTTGACACTTTTCTTGCTTCTTTAAAAGTGAGATTTCCTTTTAAAACTAACAATCTGTTCTTTGACTGTGTTTAATTATAGGAGCAAGACAGAAAGACAGACTACTCTTCTTTAATCTGAAGGTTGCATTATAACAACACCAAGATTCATCTGAAAAACTTCCTCTACATGTGTTACTCTTAGTATTTGCTTCTTATAAACCAAGTGTGTAAGTTTCTGTATTTTCCAGAACAACCCTGTTAAAACAGTTTGTGTTATTTTAGTTTTACTAGGCTGATTGAATGGTTGCATTTTTTCCCCCTGTAAAACGATTTCTTTTTATACTTAAATACAGGATATAAGCTTTCTATTCACCTTTCCCTCCTTTTGGCTAGACAACAATCCATTAAGTTTTTTTATAAGTCAATCAAACCATACAGCAGAATGGGATTGGTTGTGTTGTAAACCAAGCCAACAAACCAATAATTTGGATCACAAATCTTGTAGGTTCTTGGAATATATGAAGACTAGCTGGCAGAATTGTAGCACATGCTTGGATTTTAAATACCATGGGTCTGTACTTTAAATCATATACCATCCAAGCTTAGTCATGTTCTTGGCTATATTCTACATGTTCTTTTCTTGGGTTTAGCATGATTTCAGATGTGATGGTGAAAAATGGTGGTGTTAACCTTTATGTTTTAGTTTTGCCATTTGTCGGTGTCGTGACACTATCTGTTGCCTTAAAATAGAATGGCTTAAAATACTGAAGAGATAGTGATTTAAAATTAAGCCCTTCATCTCAGAAAGGTATAAAATATCTATTTCCTTCTAGTAACCCAAACTTTGTTAAGCGTGTATAGCATTTTTTTTGTCTTCTTCAATTATTCCCTTCATAGTTGCATATACTCCTGTCTCTCACAGATTGTTTGGAGTCTGAAGAGTGACCTGTTTGGGGTGATAGGCTAGAACTTAAGCTCTGATTCAGTGGCTCTGATTATCTTCAGCCCTCGCCATACCAATAACAGTGACCTAGGATTCCATCACTAGCTTCTTATGGTTTTAAGAGATGTCGAAAATCCAAATCACAGAATTTTTCATGGACAGTCAACACTGACTCAGTTGTAACCCAATTATGAAGGTTATTTTTGTGAGTGTTCACAGAGTCTGGAAGAGTTAATAGAACAGATAAATATTTAGCTTGTCAGAATTAAAGTATGTCAATATATATCCAGCAAATGTTACATTGGCATATTTCTTACTTTCCAAAAGAATACCTTGAAGATTCTCCCAGGCTTTCTTTTTTAAGGATTCTCCTCTTATTTATTTATTTGTTCAAAGATGAAGCATTCTGATAATTTTTTTTAAAAGCCTTATTTTGATTTTAATGGTCATCAATATTTGGTTTCTGCTTAAAATTGCTTTTTGAAGCCACAGATTTTTATGCTATTTTCACTAAAGTTGAGGCTGATTTTTGTATGATTTATGAAATCTTGTTACTTTGTAGTTCTGCTTCTTATCCCAGGCTCGTTTAGAAAATAACTCAATTTCACTTTCAAGGCCTTCCTTAAAGTCATTTTTTTAAAATATAAAACATTGTTGGATAAAAGGAAAGGTTTGAGAGAGGAATTGCCAGCTCTGGTCACAATTCAATTCGTCTTTGGGCTCATGGGCTATGTAATGGAGTGACAGCCTCTCTGAGACATGACACATGAAATACAAAGCAGCCTCTGTGTATGGAAAAGATGCCCTGTACCACACTAGGGAAAGCGTTATTCCTTTGTCATAGAGGGCCTCGTACCCAGAAACATCAACAGACTCACCTCAGAACTTACTTAGTTTTTCACCACTGGGGAACTACATACAATCTCAGCCCTTCCTCATTCTCAATAGAGATTGGCTGGGTATGAGGTCCCTTAATATTGAAACAAGAAAGTAGAATCAATTTCAAGGATCTCAAACCTATAATCCTCAAAACAGTACCATGAATTCTCAAGTATTTGAACACATCTGGTGAAACTTATATAGGATTTGGGTGGGTAGTACCAGAATTGATAAGACTGTTTTAAAACCATGTGTGACTTTTAGGAAAACCCAGTAGTCATGTGGAGTTGTCGACCGCTTGCCAGTTCTTCAAAGAGACTCTCCTTTCCTAGAAAATATGATCAAGCTCTTACCTACCATTGGTCTAGGGAATTCATAAGCTATTTATCATGATCACCAGCAGATCTGAGCCTTAAATTCTCACATTGAGATAAACTAGGACAGAAACTAGAAAAAGGAGAGCATCTCAATTTCAGTTCTATCAGAGAGGCCATGTCCTCTGAGGAGCTGTCAAGGATGTAGTAAATGTCTAAGTGGTTAAGAACGTAACCTTAAAATAATATTCTATGAATATGACATCTTCTATTGGTAATTTTATGGTTCTTTTATTTCCTTAAACCATACAAAGCTGCTAGGCCATTTACTACCTCAAGTGATAGGGAGGAACATTTTAAACAACATGAGGTGAATCCAAATCCTCATTGTCATTGTTATTATCTCTTGAGGTCACATTGATATTTGAAAGAAGTTGTTGTGCCCTTCCTCGTTCAACCAAAGTTAAGTGGAATAAGAATCTATGAACCTTCCAACCCACAAAACTATTACCCTCACAATGGCCCTTTAGCTACTGACCTACCCTTTTATGTTTTATGTACACAAAACTACGTGTACACAAAAAGCACGTAGCATTTCCTAAATAGTGCCTTCAGCTTGAATCTACTTAGACTTGCAGAGTCTGGCTTTTGCCCTTTTCTCTCAGGGTTACATGTGTGACTCAGTTTTCCAGAGGAACCACCGGGCATCGTGTGTAGGGATCTTAACCCATTTCCTCTTTTTCCTCGTTGGGTAAATGCTCAGGTTGAAATATGCTCTATTTGAATTGTTTTTGGAAAACTGAACACATTTGTAACCAGTATGAAAATTTAATTCCCCAGAATGTATTTTTTTTAAAAAAGCACTCATTGAAATTGCCCTCAGGATGAAATAAAGCTTGGATATGCAGTTAGTGACTTCACTTATAGGCTCTCTGTATGTCTGTATATGTCTGTGTGTCTACGGCTCTCTCTGTATCATTGGCTAAAAAAGTTAAAACAAATTACGTTTTGACATCTCTATGATAAATCTCAAATGTTAACACACATTTCAAATTCATCCTTATATCGCTGAGAAGTACCTAGTGATACAAATCTATTTTTCTTAATTTCAGATTAGACTTTATCATCCTTGCCTCGTAAAGAGATTGAATGCATTTTAATGATTTTCATACTTCGTGTGTTTGCTACGAATTGAATGCTCATGCTACCAGAAATAATACTTAGGACTGCAGGACAGTATTGATTCCTAAGTAGATTGACTATAATCTCATGATAAGTATATATATGTGCGTGAGAAAACACATTCAATTATAGTCTCTGTGTTTAAAAATGATCATGGTATACATTTTCCTATGTGGTGCTTGAGGAGTTTCATTCTACAGTTTACAAGGTGTAGGTTTGCACCCCAGATTCTCAGGGTATGCTATGTTACCCAAGTACTTGAAAGAAAAAGGTGCCCTGTATCTTACCAGTACTGTTGAGGGGGAAAATTATGTGTAGGTTTGGTTTAGAAAACTACTTATAAAAATCAAATTCATAAAATATGTTAGGCTTTTACACAATTTCTAAGGAGGTATACATATAGATATGATATATATTTTCAAGAGACTGTTTCTATATTCTTAACTAACTTCTGGGTCCTAAGTTGACCTCACAGGTGCATAGAATCATTAATAAAGCATGTAGCATTTGCTAAATTGTACCTTGAGCTTGAATCTAATCAGAATGTCAGACTCTTGTCCTCTGGGGGAGAAAAAAAGCATGTTTAGTCTGTGACACATCTGATTACAAAGCCCAGGGGAGGGTTCTGAAAATTAGACTTGCTTGTATGCCCCATGTCTCCTAAGAGAACTGAACATTCACAGAAGTAATTTTAAGCTGTCAACATTCTTGTTTCATGTTGCAACTAGAGCATATGATTAGACTTATTCCTATTTAATTCATAATGGTGCAGAATAAAACATACACACAGCACATCTAATTTGATTTCTTTTTTTAAGTTTTATAATTGCTTTTTACAAGCTAGTGTTAATGGCAAAAAAGTCCTTTCAAGGGCTCCCTGAATTACCTGTAGTACCTGAATCTATTTTCTAGCAGGTGGTCCTTTTTATTCTCTCCCTTTGAAGATACAGGTTTCTTTATTTACATTTAAATCATAGTATTGTACAGTAAAGACAATGGTGGTTGAAAAGAATGTGAAGACTGAGGAAGTTATGTCCCAAACAGGGGAGAGTAAATTGTGTGGTGAATGAAGAAAGACATTGGATAATGCTGAATTGTACCCTTGACTATGAAATAAGCCAGCGGTAAATGGAAAGAATGTGAAAATTTGAACTGTTCTCAAGACAGACATCTTGGTGGAAGAGTTCCTACCTGAAGTCTGATGTGACTCATTTATAGAATGCAGTGAGCTTGGCCAGTGGGACTGTGAAACTAGCCCAGCAGTTCTGAGAATTATGGTATCAGTGTATTGCATATGGAGAAAACTATTAGACAAGGACTCTGTGAGACTAGCCTGCATACCTTAATCGCCAGCATTTGTACGTGATTGTGCAATCTTGTGTAATGGTCTTTTATTTTGACTCTTGAAAAAAATACCTTATTGTTGTTTTTTCCAGTAAAAGTAACTGCAAAGAAAACATACACTATTTGTCTTTATTTTAACTCAGAAACAAGCTTTGGAACATTTTTATTTTCTTCTGTCTTCTAAGTGAAATCCTTCATCTAAGTAACATACGCTAATGTTTTACAGCCAGGGTTGTATTAGTTTTCTATTGTTGCCTTAACCGCAGTTAGTGGCTTAAGACAGCGCAAATTCATTATCTTAGAGTTCTGGAGGGCAGATGTCTGGGATGGGTCTCTCTCGGAACCCATAGTATGTTACCTGCCCAAGGAAAGGAGTGTAAGTGCTTGGATCATTGTGTAGAGCTGTGAGGAGCACACACCAAGGTGTGCGATGTTCCACTGACACCGAAGAGCAACCTAGACAACATCCCTGAGGACCCACACCGAGGCCCAGGAAAGTAATTGTAGTGACCTCCTTCGAAGCCTAAATATAAGAGGCACATGTTTGGGACACTTACTGCACAGTGAGGATCAATGTTGTAACATGTCCCTTAAGTCACTAGTCAACTGACAGCAGCATAAACCTTAACATTGAAGCCCCCAAAAGACTTAAACCCACGTTCCACATAGAGGAACATCCAGGATTCCTCACATATGTCCAGGGTTGGGGGTGATAGGGCAAGAAAGAAAGCTGAGGGCCGTTCCAGGCCTATATTTTCTTAAGTCACCTCTTGCTGCCAGCTCTTGTATCTAGTGAATTCTCAAATTCCGTTCTCCATCTTGCCTCAAGTGTGTGCTGTTTTTCTCTGCATTGCATTACCCCACTAGACTTCATTGCAGGGCACCCATCCAGTCCTGAGTAGTCCTGACTCGGGACTATGTGTGTGGCAGGACTTTGCTGAAGGTTTAGGGCATATGGGGTGGAGATTAGCAGGTGCTCCATCATATGGCAGCCAGCTGCGTTAGCAAACTCCTTCAACCTGAACTACTGACATACCTCTTCTTATACAGGCCCATGCCATCCGTGGCACTAGAGAATTGTCACTGGTTGTTGAGTTCATTTGTGCTTCAGCCACCACCCTATGCTAGAGCGCTCTCCTTCTCTTCATCCTCCGCTTCCTCTGTTCCTTAGCTTGCTGGCTCAGGATCTTCTACTTTCCCGTTATTTCTTATATAGAACAGTTTAGCCCCCTATTGAAACCTTGCTAATGCAGATCACTGAATTATGCCCAGAAGGCCTCATCTCCATAAATAAGCATGACCATTGTCCTAGTTACATATTGTTGAGAAAGAATCCACCCCAAACTTAGTGGCTTAAAACCCACGAAAACCATTTGTTTAGCTCATGAGTCTGCAATTTGGGCAAGGCTCGGCATGGAAGGGTTGGCTCTGCTTCACACTGGAGCTTGACAAGGTCCTGGAGAATCTACTTCCAAGATAGCTTGCCAACATGACCGGAAAGTGGATGCTAGCTATCAGCTGGAGTTTAGCTGGGCCAGCCAGAAGCCTCAGTGCCTCTTCAGCTGGGCTTCTCTATGAGCTGCTTGGGCTTCCTCAAAACATGGTGGCTGGGTTCAACAATGAGTATCCCAAGAGACAGCAAGCAGGGGCTGCCAGTTTCTTAAGGCCTAGTTCAGAACGTGGCATAGCATCACTCTATGTCATACTCTATTTGATAAGCAATCACAGAACCTAGATTCAATGGCCAGAAACACTGATTCCCCCCCCCCTCTAAATAGAAAAGTGTCCAAAAATTTGGGGACATGTTTTAAAACCACTATTTCATTAAAGGGTATTTTTAAACAGATACTATTATAAAAGGAATTTTAAAATTAAGTCTTAGACTACTGGAGGCTTGGTCAAAGATTCTAGAAAAACTCTAAAATGAGAGTAGTGTCTATAAGGTTTGGTGGGCATGTATTTTTGTGTGCCAGGCATATGTTGGAGTCTCACAGAGCAGAAATCACTGTTGTATTTCTAGTGTGGAGGGAATCGATGTTCTTTAGGGATGAAAAAAAAAAACAACCTACTCTATGCCAGGTGCTCTGATTCATGAAGAGGTTAGGATTTCAGGAAGCCTTTAAACATGGTGAGAATGCCCGATATGCTGATAAAGCTAGCTAGCCTAAGCCTTGTTGAAGGCATGGGTATTGAAAGAGGAAACTGGCTACCAGCCACAAAGAGGTCCACGCCAACGAGTCAGCATGGGGCAGGGAGGGAGCTAAGAGGGCTCGGTGGGGAGAGAACCAGGAAAACCAAAGCAGAAGCAAGAGGCTGGACGTGAAGAAGCCGTTCGGTTGTGCCAGAGGCACAGGGGAGCTGCCGGAGGGATGCTCAGGGAGGAGTGTAGGGGATAGAGGCATAGCCAAAGCCCTTAGACAGGAAGCAGTATGAAGAGAGTCATTAAAGACATAGCAAAACTAATGTGTTCTTTTGCCTCTTTCAGTCAGGTTGCAACCTGACCAACAGATTGTCCCTTGAATGAAGTATTCTCTGGAGGCACATATACCTTCAGTACTACTGGATAGAGAGTAAGAACAGGTTTTATTATATACATATTAGATGTATACTCGTATATACATACAAATACATACTAGATATAGTATTGCAGGATAACATTATGTTACATAGATTATATAATGTGAGAATTATCGAGATAAAATATTACCTTTGGCATGTAGTTAGTATTCAAGAAATATTAACTACTGTAATATATCTCTCCATTATAGCATTTCTTTTTCTGAACAATTCAAATTCACTGCTATATAGGTTGCTTAAAAATACTCAAACCAGGGCCGGCCGAGTGGCACATTGGTTAAGAGCTGGCTTGGGACGCCAGAGGGCCCCGGTTTGGATCCCACATATGAGGGCAAGTGACACTGAAGAACAAAAGGACAGCAACTTGTCTGTTCTCCTTCCCCCAATTCTCCAGCGCTGTTCCCATCCCCCAATTCCCCAATAAAAAAAATCTTAAAAAAAATACTCAAACCAATTTTTGGGATATCTTCTATTTATAAAAATAAGGCATATTTTTTGAAGGAAATTTTGAAAATGTTAAAATAGCCTGAAA